CAAAAAAAAAAAAAAAATTAAGGTCCATTAAATTTTGATTTTTAAATAATAAATAATTTTTAAAAAATATCGTTCAAACATTTATTATAGAATTAAGTATTAACATAAAACGTTTTAAATAATCTTTAAAACCTTATAAATAACCTTACAAATGATTTTCAAACTTCTACAATATAAAGGCAACACTTATACACGTGGGACAAGATTTAAAATTACTTAATATTGATTAGAGTTTTTTCTTCAGTTCTTTCTCTCGCTTGAGAAAACCACAAAGAAAATCGAAAAATGTTAAGTTCAAATGTTTAGTTGTGTCCAGGAGTATTAACCATTTTCGTGAAAAAAAGGATAAAAATATTAATTCACTTCAGGTACAGCTCATTTGTACCAAAATGTTTGTTATTTCTGATAACTCATTTGTTTCAAATATACCAGCGAATACATTTTATATTATCGATTTTGGTTTAATTTATATATTTTAAAAATATCCTGTCCGTAACGTAGAATAAAGTTATTTTTAGAATTATAAAGCAAAAAATAAACTTGTTATGAATATGTAAAAATAGTTTTATTTAATTAAAATATAGATAAAGATGATTTGTAAAAAAAATCTTCTTTTAAATCTTATTATGATTTATTTATTGGAATTATTTATTTATATTACTTTATTATAATAACACCAGAACAATTTTGCGCAAATGAGCTGTCGGAAAAATCATGCCTTTTTTATTTTGGTGCAAATTGGCTGCACCTAAAACGAATTTATTTTTTTGGCATGAATGGGCGATGCTCATAACCAGTATTTTACAACGAGGTAAGCATGAACGAAGTGATTACAGTAAATATACAAACCTTAATCGCAGAAAATAAAGATGACATTACTGTAAAATAAATACATACTTTATATATATAAATATATAAATATATATATATATACTCCACTTCGCTCACGACGTCAAACGCTGTATGAGTGATGAATGTGTAAATTAACACATAACACTCACGCGATTAATTCATAATGGACTCAGTTACATTATAGTTAAACTCTTCCCCGGCAAACACGAACACAATTAATGTAGTTTTACTGTGTTTAAAGATGCTGAAACTGTAATAGAGCAAGCTGTGATTTGACTCATATGTAAGGAACATGTTTGACTATTAATACATTTATAATTTTATAGTAAAATTACAAAAATATGATTTACTGTAACATTTTAAGAGAAATAAGAAATTATTTAAAATACACGTACACGTAACTTTAATACAGTAAATACCTATTTTAAATATTTTACAAACATTTTTATAAATCTACCAAAATAGTTCATTATAATATGTTTATAATATAACATTTTAAGTGCACTCTATATTATACTTCTCAAATTCCATGGATTCTATAACCATAAGTAAAACTAGAATTTAATTAGGTATTACTATGAAAATTGACAAGACAAAAATTGGTTATGTCTTATAATTTGTTTTGCAATTTCTCCTCAAGAGTGTTATTAAATACTAATATTTTATTAAAGTATATTTATCTTTTTTTTTGTCTTCCAATTTCAAGTTTATTTTAAAAATCGAAAAACAACTTATCCAAAGTACTCCTTGGAAGTTCAATTTTCTTCATAAAAAGTGTAACGGTTCAGATTTACTTTCCGAAAGTTTGATCACAGTAAAAATAAATTCATCGTTTTCAAACGAATACATTCAATAATTTATTTATAATTTAACGTAATTATATTAAGCATATATTATATTATAATATTTTTAACGTTCAATTATTGTCCTTACATAAACTGATAGTAATGTCAACAAAATATTTAAATGTTTATATTTTACAGTGTATTAGTCTTTAAGTGGAATTTTCTGTAGTTGTTTTACACAGCAATGTATATAATTATAATTAGTTACATTAAAAAAAAAAAAAAAAATAAGGAAAAAAGAAAATAACAGTTTAATTGAATGAATATTACTTTAGTTTACTGTGTGTTTCAGAATACACCATTATTTTTATTTACCGTTTAGTAAAACTTTGACCTGTTTATTTTTTTAGAGTTATCACGTATTTTGTGTAGTTCTAACTTTGCGGGTATAATAATATCTTATCAAGGAATGTATTTAGTGCGTATAATTAACAGTGTTATGATATCGGTTTATTTCAATGGCATGTAATTACATTATCGCTATTTGACATAAAACAAAAACTGATAAATCTGTTATCACATGGAGATGTTCTATTTACAAAGTATTTTGGACAGGAAAATAACGGTTTAAAAATATATTCCCAATCATTGGATTTATTCATATATCAAGTTTTACATTAATCGTTTTACTCTGTTTTATTTTGGACTCTTTATTCATAATATGTTTACATACTTCGTACATTGTTATATTAAGAACATTTTTATAATATCGTAATTCATAATACACATAAAGGGGATGAAAAATAGGATGTTATGAGTTATCTATTTATATAATCGGAAATCATCAACAAATTAACTAATATTATTATTGTAGAATTTTGTTTTAGAAAGTAGTCGGCATATCTGTATAGGACATATCTATATATCACATCGCCTCACTAAAATTTGCTATTTCTAGCCCTGCAAAACGACATGATCTATCTTAGGAATATCAGGATTTGTTATTATTTAGATAACAATTATAGTTTTAGACTTAAGTCGATTGCGTTAGCATGGAGTAGGTAAACTCGTTATAATAAAGAGGACAAACGTATATACCATGAACAGTGTTAAGACATGAAGTTTGAATAAAAAGTACTAGTTCTAATGTTTCAAATGCGAGGAACGATTATATGTTTTTTTCCGAAAGATAGCGTCCCAAAACGATGCACATTATATGCATGCATTGATGATTATCTTATAGTACATGATAATAATATTGTGTCCGTCTAGAAAGATTCGAATCCTTTCTTTATTAAACTTTGTGTCTTTATTTATTTCAGTTTATCATCATATTGTTCTCATAGTGTTTTATTTTGTTTTTTCAAATGTGATTTTATTTATATTTCTTAACATGTACTTATAAATAAATGTATTCATTTAACGCGTAACAATTAATGCGAATAATCCTACCGAAACCGTATATTAGATTCTGAGCAAATAAAACATCAAATCGGCTTTACAACGAATTCTTATTTCTATACGTGATCAAACTTTCGGACAGTAAAAGTGCACCAAAAGTCTTATGTCATAGTATCTCATGTGGTCGGAAATTGGTTTTGGGAGGTTATTTTTTCGTGTTTCATAGTGGTTTTTCCAATTTTCGAAGTTTCTCTAGAAAAATAATTCTGATGGCGTTTTCTTGTCAATAACGACCCAAAAATCTACTACGATTCATTTGTAAACCTTAGTACGATTTACCATTAGACTATGATTAACATTTTTAAATAATGAACAATACAGTGACGTAATTCCGGTTTTTTCCTAAAGTAGGGAAATTGGTACTCTTATTATTTTTCCTATTTATAGTTAGTTTTATGTCAACTTTTGTACGAGAAGTAGGTCAAGGGGTTTGTGTAAAATAGAAATAAAACTTGCTCTATAATAGTCAATAAATTATTAAATTGCCAACTCGACGGCTTATTTTAATAAAGTTTCGATTAACGTATGGGAAAGAAGACGTCAAGCCAGTCTAAAAATATAATTTGTACTTATTACATAGGTATACCCTTATACTACATGACATAAACCACACATCTGTGTGTTAAAAATGACTAGCAAATTAAAAATATTGGTAAACATATTTTTGCATATTCGTAATCAGTGATTTTACAGTATATTATCTTAACTTTTTTTTTTTAAATTATTTAAAAATATACACGTGTCCATTACAATGGACACTGGAAGTTCAAAGAAAAATACATTTCATTATAATAAAAAAACCACTAATTTCTATTAAACATATAATAATAATACAAAATATTAATTAAATAAACAAAAACAGAAATTTAAATTCTTGATAATAATAGATTAGTAATTAAAATTTATATTACAGGTATAGTTATTTATAATGGTCATCAGAAAAACAATCATTTGTTTTTGCAAAGCATAAATGTATGTTGAAATTAGTGCATAAGACATGTGATTTCCCTTTACACTTTGATTTTTTACATGGAGTAACCTTTTTTTTTTTTTCTTATATAATTAATAATTGACAATAATTGATAATAGTTAACGGAATTAAAATATTTTTATCATATTCTACAGAAATTATCAATTCCTATTAATTTTAAATTATATTAGTATCAGTACACATTAAGTAGGACATAAAATTATAGTCATGTCCATTGTAATGGACAAGGATAGCGAAAGGGCTAGATTGTGCTAAATGAATGTGTTCTCCACTCTCCTAAATGACGCCACTGGCACAGTGCGTATTTTCTACGTTTTTCTAAAAAAATATTTTTTACTTTTTTAAAGTTAATCGCAAAGATATTATCTTAAATTTTTAACAGCCAGAACTATTAAGCCATTTTAATAATACTACTGCGGCTTTTAATAGACTCAGGTCCTTTTTTTTCTTTTAATCTAAAAACCAGCTTTATGCTCCGTTTAAAAATGTATTAGTTTCATAAATTTTCATAAAGAATTTACTGAAGTGATTATCGTAGACTTATTATTTCTGGTAACTGTCATGATGAAAACGTGTTTTAAGGTAATTTATTTCCCTTCAACAATAATATATACCAGGATCTTTGATTGGTGAACGCAGAAACATAATAATATTGTATACAATGTACATACGTCATACCTTTATATTGGTAACCGAAATATTGTTAGCCGTAAATCTTTTGGAAATAAATTTTACAAAAATGATTTATGAATACTTTTTTTCCATATAATAATACTAATACTAATAATAATAATAATAATAATAATAATAATAATAATAATAATAACAATAATAATAACAATAATAATAATAATAATAATAATAATAATAATAATAATAATAATAATAATAATATGTACGTGGCGTCTTACCTTGTACGTGCCAAGATTGTTGACTACACATGGAAGGGATGCATCTCTCCCTAGTGATACCGTTACATTAGGTATAGGCTCAGCGAAATTTGGGTCGTCCGTCAATACTGTAAATACACAATAATAAACTTATATAATTCGACGGTGTACTTTTAAAAACTAGTGTTTACAAACAATCACACATTGTTAGAGGCTTTAATAATAAAAGTTTGAAACTAGTTTGAAAGAATATTGGTAGGTACACAGTACAATTTTTACAACATTGCAAAGTTCAATATAATATACTTAAAGTTATTGATAAGCTATTAATCCACCTTAACATATATTGTATTTTGTGCATTTATAATACATAATTTTCTTAAATTGTGAATACGTTGCCAAGAGGTCAATAAATTAATACGCATCATTGGAGTGATAATAGTAGGGTTTTTCGAGTTCAAACCATTTCTAAACCATCTAGTTTATTTTTCATCATTATAATATTGTTCACTAAAATTGTATTATTATATTATTTATTTTTCTTATTTTTAACATTAAATATAAGTTTTTTTTTTTTTAAATAAATGTTTTTTTTTCAACATGGATAGTAAAATAATATGTACTAATAATGTAATATTCTTATATTTTGTGTCATATCAAGTTTACACAATATTACAGAAACAACCATAAGTAAGATAAAATAAAATTAGACTTTTGAAACAATTCTACAATTAATACTTTTCAAATAACAAACAAAATTAATAATAAATATACATATCAAAGTTTATATACCTTACTCAATCAAAATTATAAAATAGTATTTTCTCGGTTAGTATTAAAGATCACATTTCAAAGTATCGCTAATACAAGTATTATTCTCTTCAGTTCCACTTGTTATAATATATTTTGTATTTCACTAATTCAGTTTTTTTTTTTTTTTACTACATGGAATGTACAGATTTTAAATGATGTAAGTTATAAAAAAATATAAAAAAATATTTGTATAAGTGATTAAAATAATTTCACTCCGAAGTTAGTCATAATATAGTTTACTAAACAAATAATAATAATAATTATAACGACAGTTACATTATTATTATCGAAATGTATCTAATGTTATTAATATTTAAGGGGTACTAATGTAATGATGTTATATTATACTAGACGAACAACTCAAAACAAATAAGCTTCGTGAATTTGTGTAGATTCTTGGACCTAGCAATGAAACAGGAAATCAATGAACTGGAGACGAGATAGAGCTGAAAAAAAGAGCAGATACCAACAGAGTGCCCTAGATTCTACCCAGAAATATGAATTCAACGAGAGGGAAGTAATAAGTCTGTAGTTCGGTGCACGTTAGACAGCATAGGCATTCCTTGTGGAATTATTTCGGAAAAACGGATTGCACAAAAGTTGCTTCGCATTTCCTTGTTAGCCTTAGTTAAGTATGCGTTCTATATATATATATATATATATATATATATATATATATATTTTTTTTTATTCGTAAATGCTTAGTTATAAATTCACACATGATTACGGTATGGCCTCAATAAAAAATTAACTTCAGATATGACTGAATCTATAATTTATATGAGTTTAAGACGAATGCTTGTGTTTATACGGTACAATTAATCCATGCTTTATAACAAAATATAATTTAAATATTAAAAATTGTATAAAATTGTGATAAAAAAATAAAAAAGTGGTGTGAAGAAAAGGAAGTGGGAATTTTCTTGGTTGTGTCGCTAATCTTTCTAACGAATTCAGGTAGTGAATAAAATAATGTCTGAAAATTAACATTTTAAATAATGCAAGTTATTAAAAGCCAAAAACAATCTACAATCCGCAATAACAGAGCGGTTTTCATCAAAACGTTTACTCTGACTGAAACGTGGCTCATATTATTCCAGAATTAGTGTTATTAATATAAACGGATATGCACACCTACGAAATAGAGCAAACGTACTCATACAATATATTTGAGTGTGTGTTTGTTTATTATGCTTATGAAACGAAGTTTTATTTAATAATAATTTTAGATTTGCAATGAAACTAGGAGTATATCATTTTGGCCAAAAGAATTTGTCGTATACAACACACTTTGAGCTTGACGTATAAAACAGATAGTTTGTCAGTAGACTAATTTTCCAACCGTCAAAAAATATTCAGTATTAAAGGTTACTTTAATAAGTAATAAGCGAAAAATAAAGGTTAAAAAAGTATACAGTTCACAAGAAAAACATATACTCGTATTTTTAGTAAAAGCAAAATAAAATCAATTAATCAATCGGATCTGTTCCACACAGCTCCATGGAAAAGACCAACTCAAAATATAATTTGAGTATAAGTAAGAATCAAAAAAATACATATTTTCGTAGTAGAATAAGTACCATGGAAAATTGTTTATTTTCCGATCATCTCTCTTTTATACATTTGCTTAATCTAATTAAACATAATTATCGCTCACATTTTATTTTTCCGAATCAATTTATTTCTTATATTCTAAAATGCTTTTAATAACTGTTTTCTATTACGAAATTAATATACAGAAATATCTTGGATATACCGTGACCTAAATTTGGTATAGCTGATATTTGCTAATACTACAGATTGCTCTGATCATCACAACCACAAGAAATGTATAGCAGGAAATAATTGGCACGAACCATGTATTATGAACACTATACATATTTTCATAGGTATTTGAAACGTTATGTTTTATTTTCCAAAGTCGATAAGTCGGATAAGACTAAAAGGTTTCGAAACAAGAGCGACTTTCGGTTGACCCATCGTCCGAAGATCATCCCGTTTCCGTGGCCACAAGGTCTGAACGCGAAATGATGATCGATGCCACATAACACTCACGTGGTTGAACGAACACTTGATTACTATACTAGTAAGTACGAGTGGACGCATGTAATGTGTAAACACGTAATGTATGCCTCGTGATAGTTCATTCCAAAACAGTTTAATCTCTCGACTTTTATTATTCGTGCGTGAAGTGGTTGACAATTTGATGTACCCCGAGTTTTTCGGTGAAGTCGTTTGCTAAATTGGTGGGGTGGGGAAGGGGTGAATCTGGCAGGCCAACGACACAGGGTATAGCACGGAGCGTAGAGTACATCCGACAACAAAAGGACGCGCGCGCGCTCGACAATTCACCTTTATCCTTCCCTACTCTTCCGTACCGCGCGCTCGGTCTCCGGTTACCGGGGTGCGTACAGAAATGTCGTCAAAAGCAGCCGGTCGTCTACACCGCTCCAGCTCTCGTCGACAAACCTACTCTCCGCTCGTCTGTGTCGCGTTCCAGCTTGTAGTGACAACGCTCAGCTCATTAATCATACCCACACACACACTAACAAATATATAAGTATATATATATATATATCCGTGAATTCCCTGGGCTTTATTACGAACAAGTAATTGCGAGTTTGTCTGCCACCCCCTTCAGAGGGCTCTTCCACTTCGTCCTCTCAACGGTTCGAAGCGACGTTACGATCGGAACACGATCTTTGTATAATAAAACCGTTTTGTCGTTGTCCGGAATCGTTGAAAAGTCGCACGGTGGAAAAGAACAGATTTTCTCTAACAACGCGAAAGGGGTTAATTTAGTTCGTATAGAGCCGTGTAATAATAATCTAATACGATGTTAATAGTCGGTATATGTCACGTTCTCGCAAAAACTATCGTACACGTAGTTCGGCGTTGTACAATTTTATATTCGTATAGAAGACGGCTGCAGATAACAACCGGTCCGATGAAATGACGATATAATTTAGTGTTCCGCGCATTTATATTAAATCGATAGGATGAAGCCCTAAAAATTAAATTATTATTAATACACAACATAAATTAAAAAAAAAAAACAGTTCTTTCTACACTATAGATTTAAAACGACTATTTTGCGTTTATATTTCTGATCGTTTATGTTATCATGAAATACTTAGTCCGAAATAAAAAAAAAACTATTTATTAATTTTCACAAAACGTAAACAGTATACTAGGAAAAAGACGTAATATATTTTATGTATTTTGTCATCTATTTCGATGTAAAAAATATAGTTCTGACATGAAAACCAAGTATATATCCTTATTATGTTTTACTTCTCTGACAGTGGTACGGAAAGTTACTGGTAACATCGAAAAGTGACTTCTTAAAAGTATCTCTTGCAGAGTTCGATTGCCTGTCTTTCTTATAAGATACTGTGCGCAACTTTTTGTGCAATTTCATACTCAAAAGTTTGGTCATGGAAAAGAAAAAAAAATGTTATTATAAATCAAAACATTTCTTGCTTCGTTCAGAATCTAATATGTAAACTAGATTAATTTTCAAGTTTCTTAGTTCCTTGTTCAATCTCAAATAATATGGTTATTTTAAAGATGCAATAGTACATTTATACATTTTATTAAAATAACTAATGAATGCAAAATTAAAATGTATAAATAACAAATAACTTCCTACATTGCAACAATATAAATGTATGGTTAAAAAATATATACGAGTACATACATGATAAACGATGGTGTACAAAAAAAATTAAGAATTTTTATAATTATTTTTGAGTCATAAGAACTCTAAAATAATATATATAATTCTTCTATGAATAAAAGGAATTTCATATTTAAATATCAAAATAACTAGGCATAAATATTTTTTTTCAAAATATGTGTTTGAAAAAACTATGATTTCTTCTCGAAACATAGTTTTGAGATTTCAAAGTTATTGCTGTATAATACGTTTATTATAAAAATATAAAATTAAGACAAAAATTAAGACATTCGAATAAAAATAGAGTAAACCATAAATTAAAACTAAGAAAATAATTATGTAGTTTTATTATATATTTTTATATATATACACATATATATTAGTATATTTATATATACGTGTATATTAGTTTTTAAGATGTATTTACTATAGTCTTTTCAAAACTTCTATTTTTTCCTTTAAAAAACTGTTCAAATTTGATCAATGTTTATCAGTAGTAAATGGTTCGAAACTGTCAATCTTTCAAACATAAAATTACGTTTTTTTTATTGATATTTTTTGGCGGAATTCCATAGAAATTGAAAAAAAGCTTTGTAAGTAACTTACACACTTACGCACGTACGATGTCTGACCTAA